TATCTCTGATTTACTCCCTCCATCTGGGTTATTAGGCCCCTTTTTTTGTGCCAAAGTTTGACCATGAATTTAACTAATAAAATGTGAACTATATGTCACAAAAATTATGCATTGAAAACCTCTTTTAAATACAAATCCAACAATATATTTTGTGCAACATATACTTTATATATTTTTTGTAAAATAAATGGTCAAAGTTGGACCCAAAATACAATGGGGCCTAATAAAGCTGAACGGAGTTAGTATTCTCTTGTAGTGAAAATTGTTGTTTGTCCCGCTCTATTTAATCTGTCATGCCCCCACGACCTCCATAGGCAGTTGCCATAGCTTGCTCTTCAGTTTGTGGTGGAAGGAGGAACCCTAACAATAGATCCCAAGTATCCACAACCTCCTATCCTAGGGAGGGGACCAACACATCAAAATGGCCAAAGGCAGCATATGACGTATTCTCTTTATGTGTTTCCCTTTTCCATTCCATAGGGCCTCCAGGATAAAACAAATCTATTCCAATAGACCCAACAAAAATATTAGAAGGTTCTATGGGTAAAATCCCACACTCCTATCCCTGATTCCTCTCCCACTTAGAATTCCCCATCTCAACGATAGTATAATTTAGAAAAACCAATCACCAGATCAAGCAAATCAAGAAAAGTGTTTACCACTAGTCAGGAGAAACTAAACATCATGCCCTTGGATCATGAGTTAAAACCATGAAAAGAGAATCCTCATTTCTAAAAGTATACACGATTCTAAATTACAGCTTCTGGAATCTGGTTAAACTAAAAGTGCTGAAAAGAGAACCTTCATTTCTGAAAGTATACAAAATTATAAATTAAAGCTTGTGGAGTCTAAGGAAACTAAAAAGGATATTATATTACCAAACTTATTATTGGTGTGTATGGCAGATATAACTGTACATGGTTTTTCTCTCTCTAGCAAGGGTTTATACGATGGTGCTCTATTAAGTTTTAATGGTGAGTTTATCACTTTTTTGAATAATCATAAAAACCCCACTTCTGCAAAGTTGCATATGATCCTGGTTAATTAGTACATAATGGGAAGGGTTGTTTCCTTTAGTTCTTGGCAGGCCCCTTCCTATGGTGTTTTCAGATCATATATCTTTGATTTTGAACATGTGCACGGAAAAAATAGGATAACTAGTCTATTTAGATTTGAATTTTGTTCATTTATAAGGGAAGAGCTCACTAAATTGATGTTAAGCTTGGCACAAACATTATTTTGATTAATCTTCGCGAAGTAGTAAGAGATGTTATGATAGCTTTAACAGGGTGGAATTACAATATAGGAAGTGAAAGTGTGAGGTATAGAAAGATGCTTACATAAGAAATTCATAAAAGAGACATGGGGGTTAATAGTTTAACTTCACATTTCATTGAAATGGATTTAGACAATAGATTACATATAATCTTGAAGGAAGATAAAATAAATTGGTACAAAGGTCTAAATATAAGAATTTGGTAGATGAGCATTCAATGGCATCTTATTAATGGCGTAGAAAGAGGGGAAACAAATTGTGCCTCGTTTGATTTGCAGGATTTGCATAGGATTTTTGTAGGATTTAGATCCTCTGGAAATTGGCATGCAATGTCGTTTGATTTATAGGACTGTGTTCCACTGGAACCGATCCTACAGGAAATCCATATTTCAGTTTCACAGGAAAACGAATGAGGTTGGACTTCATGGAAATCCTGGAAGGAAGAAAACCCGCACGCATGAGTTCTTGTGGTTTTCCTATATACTACAATAAAATAGCGGTTGCGTGAGAATTCCTCTGTTTTGCTATCCGTGGGATTTCACTGGACAGGGCCTCCTAATCCTCTAGTTTTCCTGTTCCTACACTTTGCCAATCCTGTAAATCAAACGAGGCCTTATAATACAAGGGGATATAGATGGAATGGTATTAATGCTCTTGAGCATATTGGACCCTTTAGTTTAGAAAATATATCAAAAAACATGTTTTTAGTACAAGTTTAGGAGAGGAGGGAGAATATATCATGTATAGGGTATTGTAATATGTATATACAATATTTCGTGAAAAAATATGCTAGGCTTTATTCTTCACAAAAAAGACAATGAGTGAAGAAACAACAACTTTTATACTCTAAATTTGTTGTTTTTCCCCTATGCACACGAATGAGAGTACTACAATATGTATATGTGTCATTTCTTTTCAAGAATTTCAACAATGCACCTTGTGATAATGTACTTGGGATAATGTACCTTGTGTTCATATAATGGTTTAACCTTGCTAGGCTTAACTATGCCATTTTAATCTTGTTGCCTAAAAGAGTTGAAGTACAAATCCTCTAGGTGTATATGGCCTATATTTTTTACTAATGTATTGCTCAAAATTTTTACTAAGGCAGTGAATAGAAAAGTCCTTCAAAATAATTGGTAGGCCATATCACCGTACCAGTCGAGATTGCATTTATTAGAGGTAGATTTTTCGTAGATGAAGTAATTCTTTATAGTGAGATACATATGGCTAATACATCATCTACAATGTTTAAGTTTGATTTTGAAAAGAGATATGATAAAACAAATTGTAACCTTCTTAAGGGTTTCCACAGATAGAAGGTTTTCTTGATAATATATAACACGGATAAAAGTAAGAGTTACCAATGTTAGTGCAATTTATATGGTAAATGGATAACCAGGACCATACTTTAGGACAAAAAGGTGAGGCAACCCGGGTGGTACCCTCTTACCTATTCAGTTCAATTCTACTTAAGAGGGCACATATCAATGCCTAAATTAGAATAGTGTTAAACTCAGTTAAAGGAGGCTTAGTTATGTTACATTGTGTAGAATATTTTCTTGTTTGAGGCTGATGTTGCTAATACTACAAAACATATATTTTTATTATATTTATATTTTCTGGTTTAAGTACCAATTTGCATAAAATTGAAGTTTGTTTCTTGGGAAAGGTTAAGAAATTAAGTAGTACTTATATATTTTTATGTGCAAAAATAGCCTATGAAATATTAATGGAACCATGTTCATAGAAATATATGCAACAAGGATTAGAAGCCAG